CCTGTTGATTACTGCTTGACTTTAACTTAGGCCAGTATACTTGCTGCTTTCAGCACCACTATGGATAAGCTTCATTTATCTTTATCTCACTAAATCACATATTTGACTGGCTTTGTAATGCAGTGAAAATGAGGTAACTCTCCAGGAGTGTTTCCTGTTTGGTTGGTTGACTTGTGTTTTTTTTTGGTGACTGTTCATCATTTATAGGTCCTGTTGTCACCTAGGAGCTATACTAATTGATACAAGATTACCAGATGTACCTCTGCTAAGTAAAGCAGTGCTTTTCTTCAAAATGTCCTGGTTTTGGTCATCAGTAACATACCAAATATATTGAATGCTTTCAGTTTTTAGTGTTTTGGTTGTTATTTTTTTTCCTTTTTTTTTTTTTTCCCCTTTTTTTTTCTCTTATATCTTTTTTTCCCTTCAATGTTCTAGATTTTAGGTATAGCTCTACCACACAGCGAAGAGTACTGTCATTAGACCTCAGTGGAAAGTTAGGCTCACCTTGTGCAGTGCAGTGACATGAGAAGGTTACAACTTGTGTCCCTTGAAGCACTCCAGTGTTAGCTTTTCACTCTGCTAACATTAATTCATTTTCAGAACTGATGAGATTATACTGCTACTAATTCCAGAACTACGCCCATGAACATTGGCTTGGTGCAGTGCAGCTGTGAACAAACTTACTGTGATATAAGCTTCAGCATCTACTACAAAATTCCCTGTAAAGACCCTTCTCAAAACCACTAAAATGCCTTGATTTTGAACATACATTTATTCTCAAAAACTTCAGGTTTCAGTAAAGAAACTTGTATTTTAAATTTAAAGCTACTGCACAGATATTTATAACAAAGCAATATACTACGCATAAAATAAATGTAAATTTTAAACACACAATTTAAATATATTTATTTCTAATTGCATCTCACTCTCCCATATTTCCCTTGATTTTTCCCCAATCTAAAGAAGTACTTAAACCTTCAATACTCAATTCATTTCAATAGTCATGTACAATAAAGAATGAGATACAAAACTACTGTTTCACTGGCAAAATATATTTTCTTTGGAAACAACTATAGAGCAAATACAGAAGGAACCTTAGAGTGTTAGAATTAAATAAATGATTATGTAATATATTCTTCAAAGGAGGGTCTAATGTAGTTACAGCTGGAGAACTCCGTGCATATAAAAATGTTTTATACCAGTTTAAAAAGAAAAGAAAGATTTCAATACAAAGTCGCTCTTCAGAAATGGAGAACTGCAGGGAATTAAATACCTGGACAGGTATCCAATATTTGCTCCTAGAGGGATTTCTTGTTACTGAGGCTCTGACTCCCTATCAAATGGAATTGCATACCTTTCCAGTCATTTGGACAGGGGTTAGCATGATAAAATGATTTGTTATGCCAATAAATTTTTTGTTACATTATAAAATGGTTTGTTACACTACTTCTGCAAAATAAAAATGTTATGAAAATTAAGTGGGCTGTAAGGTTCAAAAAGGAATGTTCTACTTTTGGGACTAGACACAATGAGAAGAAAAATAAGAAGGGCTACATAGCCAGCCTTCTAGCAACTCTTCAATACTGTAAAAGGACATTTTAACTAACAAATGAAATTATTATCCTAATTAGGAAACAGTTATGCATCTGAAATGAATGGGAACCTTCTTGGGTCAACAGAAAATGAGAGGAAAATGAAGTAAACCTGATAATCTAGGTGGTGACTTCTGTCCTGTGTGACAATAAATTAAATAAGGCTAAATTACAACTTAGAATGGAAATTGAAGTACAGACTCCTATGCTAATCACAGTGTCTCGCAGATGGGATAAGCAAGATAATAAGACTGGAGGAAAACCCTACTTTGCATATTTTAACATTGCGTATATCAGTCAAAAGCAATATCTGAACCTGGCAACTTTAATTCCCAGTCAAGTCTTATAAGTCCCTGTCTCATTTTGAAATTGCTATGTATTATGTACAGAATTTGTTTATGATTCTTCCAGGCAATAATTCACCACACAAGAAATGGACATCTTATGCTTTATGTAATGCTGTAGAAATTATTACATCTTTTTTTTGTATTTTTCTGCATTAGCATTTAATGATGGCTCAGTTTTTTGAGCATGGTGCCCATAAGATTTCAATCTTGAATGTCCAGCCTGCCTGGACTCTGTTGCCTTTCAGAATCACCTCTCAAAGGATTCTATGATCCTGCTCTCTAAATAGGCTGAAGCCTGCCCCCTGGAAATCCAAGGTAGCAGTTCTGCTAACTGCCATCCTTTATTCAGTTAACATTAAAACAAAACAAAACAAAAACAACCTATCATTTAATGATTGCTCTGCCAAGACAGCCTCCAGCTATCACATCACCCATAAGAGCTTCTCTGTTTGCAGAAAATAGGACAAGTGGGGCATCTTCCCTAGTGGGTTGTCTCACCATCTGTCTGAGGAAGCTATCTTCCACACACCACAGGAATCTCCAACACAGTTTACTCTTTGCTGTAATGTATTTCCAGCAGACTTCAGGAAAGCTGAAGGTGCCAATGAGACAATGGGCTAGTGACCATAAGACTTCCGGTTGCTTAGAGAACATTTCATTTGCTGGTTCACCCTGATCAGGATGAACAACAGCAGAATCCCATAATAATATCCACCTGCTTGCTTTTCCCCTGACTCAAAGCTTTTATCACTATTACCCAGATCCATGCAGCCAAAGCATCCCTTACCAGACAGGGCTAGCTCAACACCTCTAATTCTCTGTCTCTCTCTACTGAAGAACCATCTGTAACCATCTGTGACAGCACTCAGACACGTGAGTTGTCCCATCACTTCATTTAAATGAATGAATGATTCATTCAAAATATGTCATTACATGGAAAAATAAAATCTGAGAAAAATCACAGAATCACAAAATGGCCAGGGATGGGAGGAACCTCAAGGATCACGAATCTCCAACCCCCCTGCCACATGCAGGGCCAACAACCTCCACATTTAATACTAGACCAGGCTGCCCAGGGCCCCATCCAACCTGGCCTTGAACACCTCCAGGGACGGGGCATCCACAACCTCTCTGGGCAGCCTGTTCCACCACCTCATCACTCTCTCTGTAAAGAACTTCCCCCTGACATCCAACCTAAATCTTCCCTCCCTCAACTTAAAACCATTTCCCCTCGTCCTGCAGTTATCAACCCTTTCAAAGAGTTGATTCCCCTCCTGTTTGTAGGCTCCCTTCAGGGACTGAAAGGCTGCAACGAGGTCACCCCACAGCCTTCTTTGCTCCAGGCTGAACAAGCCCAGCTCCCTCAGCCTGTCTTCATAGGGGAGATACTCCAGTCCCCTGATCATCTCTGTGGCTCTCCTCTGGACCCTCTCCAACAGATCTCTGTCTTTGTTGTTTGGGTCTTGTCCAGACCTGGACACAGTACTCCAGATGGGGCCTCACAAGAGTGGAGTAGAGGGGGACAATCACCTCTCTGTCCCTGCTGGCCACCCCTCTTTTGATGGAGCCCAGGATACCATTTACCTTCTGAGCTGCAAGAGCACACTGCTGGTTCATGTTAAGCTTTTCATCTATCAAGACCCCCAGGTCCTTCTCTGCAGGGCTGCTCTCAAGGACCGCTCCTTCCAGTCTATGGATGCCTGGGATTCCTCCGGCCCAAGTGCAAAACTCTGTACTTTGCTGTGTTGAATCTCATCAGGTTCACCTGGGCCCACCTTTCTAGTCTCTCGAGATCCCTGTGAATGGCATCCCTTCCTTCTACCGTATCAACAGCTTGGTGTCGTCAGCAAACTTGCTGAGAAAAAAAAATTCAAACTAATTTCAAACTAAATTTCAAACTAATAAATGAAATCTGCCAATCTCTCTTACTTTGCTAGTGGCAGTATTTGCAGTCAGCACAACAGCTTGAAGTACTGAATAGACTAGGAATACTAGGAATATCTGACCCTTCTTGCTGATCATTTAATGGAGCTTGTCTCACCAGCAGGCATGGACAGGAAACCATAACCTTTTCCATGCTATTCAGCAAGAACTGGTGGTCATGGTTAGGAGCACAAACCACAAGCATTTGTTTCTCAGAATAGGTACAGATATCTGAGGTGTATCAGACCTACATGCAGTCACTTCTGATGGACCATTTCCTTTGTACCACTTCTAACTATGTAGAGGATGAAACAGATACCACTTCTAGGAGTTCACACAAAGTTTGTGCCAGCCAAGCCTTTGAGCTTAAGCAAAACAAGGAATTTGAGGAAAGGCTGTGGCTAAGATTGGTCTTCTGCTCTCAAAGTAACTCATCCAGACCCATTACTTCCCGGCATTGCCCACAGCCCTCAGATACCTAGCAACTCATGGCACAGCTCAACAGCTGTGTGACAGACAGCAGACCTTCTCTAATGACTTCTATTACTTGCAATTTGACTGGCATTGCCACTACAAGAAGTGGATCACAAAAGCAGAGTACCGTGATAACCCAGAGACTCAGGAAAGAACAGGTAACATGGTTAAATATGAGTACTCTCATTCCTAATATTTCTCTGGCCTTTTTCAAGTGTCACATTTATATCTCACTTTGGGAGAAGCTAAGCTGTTATCAAGTAAAATATATTTACATTCAGGACAGAATAAATAATATCAGCAATTGTGAACTTCGGAAAGGTTTAGGCAAACTAATTTTGGACAAGTCTGCTCTCCTTTTCTGCATGCCTGAATGAATGAGAGCTGAGAACTTCAGACAGTTTTCACCTCTCCCAGCGAAGATCAAAAAAGGAACTATCCCAATTTGTCACCTATACAGAGCCTTGGAAGTTAAAAGCAAAAAGAACAGTGGTTTAATAATGTGACTATCATTCTGTAATTCAAAATATAACACAGTTCCAAATCTGTGCTGCTATTCATCAACTGCTACATTACCCTATCAAGAAAGAAACACTCAAGAACTGAACTCTGAATGCAAAAAGATCTCGCTGGAGTCTGAGTACAAAAGGAAATAGGGACTTACAGAGAGGAGTATTTGGATAGCGCTGTGAATGACCTCTAGGTACTGGAAATCGATTATGCAGCCTGTCACAGAGACATAGGAGTAATCATCTAGGATGCCAGGAGAAGAAGGACGCACCACTCTTCGTATGCAGCCAGGCCCGTGCTCTCGCCACCAAGAACGGTGCATTGAGATATTAAAGGTCATGAGATCAGTTTCCTAGGAGACAGAGAGGGAAAAAGCATGAAATCCTCTAATTCGCTATTATTTAAGATGAAGAAATTGAAATAAAAAAATGGTTTCAACTATTAAAAGGAAAACAACATAACTTACTTCCCCTTCACCTACATAATTTTAACATGAAAGTAGATCATTAGGAGGGAGAAAGGAAATTGCAAATGTTTATCATTTATTCGGTAACTGTGCATTGGAGCTCCTGTCCAGTAGAAGAACCATCATACCAAGTACAAAACGCAGTGCATATTCTATGTCTCCATAGACTTCACTGCTAAAAAAGCAATTTGTCATTTAATTAAAACGTGTATCAAGAATTAATTCTTTGAACAGGAAGCAGAGAAAGTCCTATTCCATGGTTCTAGAAGTGATCTAAAATAAACTTCCCACACATTTACTTAAATTAATAACTACAGAAAAATCAGGTATTATCTTAAATTGGGCAAAGGAGATTGTTCCAGCTACCAAAGATTCAAATAATAAGCTCTTCCGCAGTCAAGGTGTCTGAGACTGGTAAGGAGCATCTCAAATCAACATGAGGTAATCAACAGTGCATTGTGGACAATTTTACATTTTAAAGCACCTCTTTGGAGTTTGCCTGCAAAAGAGAAGGCTCAGGAGTTTTTATTGGCTGAAGACTTGGCCTGGGAGCAAATGAAACCATCTCAATACATGATATTAGGAGATGATACCATTGTATCCTGTGAAGGCAAGATAGAGGCTGGCAGGTCCCTGATTGAAGTTAACTGGAACCTATTTAAATACCAAAACCAACTTTCATATTTGCAATTAACGTGAAATAAGTCATACTACTACTTTAGATAATTCAGATTTAGGTTTTCCCCATTTCCCCATATCACTCAATTTCGAGGTAGCTGTAATAATGCGTTAAACATTGTTTGCTATAGGCCCACAGATTTCCTTATTCTCGTATGTGCCAATTTGCAAAATTGCATGTACACCTACGCTGATTCACTTGTACCTCACTCTGAAAATCTGTCCTGTAAGTTTATCTGTGACAGTTTCACATTGACAAAATGTATATTTGGTATAAATTCTTAGTTCTACCTCTGTTAACTAACTTTATTCTGGCCACATTTGAAAAGTAACCAGTGAATTACATCTTGCCAATCTCTGTAGTTGATAGCAGTAACAAGTCAGCAGATGTTTTCACTCTCCATAACTTCTTTACCCTTAAAATGAAGATTTGTAGGATCAACCATTGACAGCTGATGAAGCATTTGTCTTTTGACATTGCGTGCTGCTCCTTGATACCAGTTTAGAACATTTTCAGCTGCACTATGACAATGATTTACAAAATCTGAAGTTGACAGATAATTCAGTGTAATGAAAATGTAATTACAAATACAGTCATAGAAAATAGCAGAGGCTTTCTCTGTACAACAATGCCAGAGATTGCACAGTGTTAACAAGCGCTTTTAGCAATTGTCAAGTGTAGAAAATGCCATTTATCAAGCAGCATGCACGTACTCATCTATTTTGGTAACTCTTTGTTGAGTGTAGAAGTGGACTGTCAGTGTGGGTTAGCCTGTATCAAATGCTGCAAGTTAACATTTCTTTATGGCAACTGAGAATAAATTGTGAAGTCTGTGTGTCTGGTGTTTGTTTTGTGTTTTTTGTTGTTGTTGTTGTTTCCTTCCATTATTTCTTTGTGTTTTGTTTTGGTCTTTATGCTTTATTAGCTATGGCCTTGTGCTTAGTTCAAGGTCAATGAAGAAGAAAAACAACAGACTTAAAAAGGGAAACAGTTCTGCCCCCTTGCCAACACCTTTAAAAGTACTTTGGCATATAGTTGTCTTTGGCAATTTTAGGTAAAATCTTTTGCTTCTGAAATACTGCTATGTTTGGTTCCTAAGAATTTTTTTTTGAAATTGCTTAAACTTATGATCATATTTAGAAATATCTCCCTATTTGCTGACCATTTGTATGAGCTCATTTACTAAGAAAACAGTGAACATGAGGCACATCTGCAGACTCTTTTATATTTCAAAGCTGCTGGTGCTTCAGTGAGGGAAGGAAACAGCACTACTAAAACAAAAGTTATTTTATCTGATTAAAAAGAGATGTCATCACAGCACTTGCAGCTGCTGTTATTATTACTATTCAGAAATTATGGAAAAAGGCCATAAGAAGAGCATTTCATAATTAGTTTTCACTCTGTGCATTATGTCCCAAGTTTCCAAAACAAGTGAAAGGATAATGAAGGTCCAGCAAAGACCAGTTCCAGAAATGCAAACAAAACCATTCAGTGCATGAGTTTGACCTCTAACAAATCACTTCACAAAATGGCAGCCGTAAGCTTTTTGAGATGATAAATGCTAAGCTGCCAATCAATAAATGAAAGCCTAAAAAAGGAAAATAAAAATCACTCTCCTAACTCATTTTTTGGAGATATTTAATCTGTAAAGTGAGTTGAGTGTGCCAGGCTTTGAAAATGTAGCCTATGTCTATTCTTCTCCACAGAAGCATATACATTTGAAAGACTCAACACTTGATTGTAAAGGTTTTAAATACCAGCATATTTCTAAGAGTCTTTTAGTATCTGTGAATTCAGTATTTGGAAGCTCTGGATGGTGGAAGAGCTGCTGCTCAAGTGGATTATTCTCAATCATATGTTTAATAAAAGTTAAGAATTCTTAAGAAAGTACAAGCAAGTTCTTGAATTTTTTTCAGTGGATAATGTGCTGCTTTCCAATGTTAGAGGCAATCGCTGTGGGAATCAAATGTTGTTTCTGCATTAGAATTGGATAATATTTTTTTATTTCACGATCTCCAGTGTCATAGTCCTTCTATTTAACTTGGGGAAGATCTCTGACAGTTTACATATCCTCTAGATGAACCTTCCCAGGAATGCACACTCTGTATATAGGTGTATATATTTTGTCATTGCAAGAATATCCTGCACGAGATCGAACCAGAGAACAAGTCATGGCATACCTGAGGAAGTGCCTGAAGAGACATCAGAAGGCCTGGCATTCCCCCCTCCCTCCTGGTGCTCTTATTTAACAAAGACTTTGAAGAAAATCAATATGACAAGAGCACTGAGACATCTTGGAAACAACAGGACAACAGGACTGACACCAGATAACAAATAAATTAACAAGTAAATAACAAATGCAAACCTGCTGATGGCAGGACTCCCGCCATTGCAATCGCAAATAAAATCTGCTTTTTATCAGAGATGCCATCCTGACAAAAATTATTTGGATATTTCCAACATTGTGAAACAAACACTTACAACATGCTTATATAACATCACTTGCTGAAGTTTAAGCTGTGTATTATTAAAACTAATAAGAAGGATATTTATTTTGTGTTTACTTTATGCACAGTGCTCACAAGAAACTAAAAATGAGAACTTAAGGTTACTTAATAAAAGTCACTAGACAAAGTAAGAAAATACACTAGAACTCCATTCCATTTTCTAAGACAAAAAAGTAATGCTGACTTGCGACTCTGTTTCTGCTTTTATGAACGTGGAGAAAAGATTTACATCAAAACCTGATCGATAGCTAATAAAAGGTAATGCACAGTGCTAGGAGAAAACCAGTACATTTTCTTGTAAATCTCTGCTCCCAGTTAAGTTTGTAGTTAAGATGCAACGATGTTGGCACGGACAATGGACACACACATTTCATAGTAATTAATTTCAAGGAGACATTAATCTCCATGAGATGCAAGTGATGCCTTCCAGTGTTCGCAAGACCTGCTGAAATTGTAGAAGATCTCTGGCTAATAGCTGATGCTTATTCTCTAAAGATGCCCCACTGGCAACATAACATTAATTTTCAAACTACTTTTTCTTTTCCCTGAAACCACTGTTTCTGGTCATGGCTTGCTCTATGATGATCAGTTATGCTCCATCTTCCCTTGCTGTGCTGAATGGATTGGTTTTGAAGATCTGGACAGATAACCCTGAAGAAGTCCCTTGATAAATAGGGAGATTTCTATTACTAGCTCTCACATTTTCTTGTTTGGGATTTTCAATATTGACTCAAAAAATTGTTTTCAATTTAAACTCTTGCTTCAGTGTTACACAGATGTTGTTTTACTTGCTCAATGAACTAGTGGTAAGAGGTAGCTCCACTCAGTAATCTTGACACTGATGATGTGATAGAGTGATGAACCATGCTGCTTCAGGGCAGTCTCTCTGGTTTGTTACTAGTGAAAGCATAACACAGCCAGTATATCACCCTCATCGTGAAGTGAAAAGACACAAGAAGAATATCCTTCAATTCAAGTGCATAGACCCTACTGGGACTACTCATCTCTCTAAATGAACTGATATCCTGGACCAAGTGTGCATATCACCCAATACACTTCAAATTAGAGGTCTGGTGTGATGCACGTAAACCCATTACCCTTAAAAGTTTCCAGTGCCAAGATCTTCAGATAAAACAGATGAGGAAATCCCAGCATCATGGGCAAAGAATGGATAAGAGACATTAAGAAGCACAGCCACTCTTTGTGGAGAGTAGGTCATCATTATTAAGTTCAAATCATTCCTCTAACTGAGATTAGAGGTCCCCTCTCAAAAAAAACAAAAACAAAAAAGTGTTTGAGTTAGGCAGTACTGTCATTACTACCCTTTATTCTTTGAGCTTAGTCAGATTTTATTTTAGTGATCTTCTCAAATGATAAAAAAATAAAAATGATTGCTCTGCATTACACAATTTATCACACATTCAGAAAGTTTTTTTCTCCCTTCCAATAATATTAAAATCAGATTTGCAGAACTTACTTTCAAAGAAGAGTATCTTTTAAAAAAAATCTAAGGTAAGACGACAACAAAAAACAAACTGCTGCCTTCTTTATGCAACATTAGATTTGCCCATTAGAACCCTTCAAGGGATTGTTTTCTCCAACTTGTCCACCTCTACAGATATTCTGGCAATATTCAGAGTCATGTTAAAGTCCTGGTTTTATGGCTGATCTCTTTTCCTAGATCTGCCTCACTTTCATGG